TGGCGGTGGCGGGCTGGTCAGGTGATGATGGGGGAGGATGGTCAGGTGATGATGGGGGAGGATGGTCAGGTGATGGGGGAGGATGGTCAGAGAGTTATTACAACCCAAACAGACAGAACACTGAGATGTTGTTAAGTTCATGGTCACTTCATCATGAACCGTCAGACAGATCTACACACACACACACACACACACACACACACATGATGATCACATGACCAGTCCAAACGACAGTCACAGAACTCATAATAAAACCATGTGCTCACATAAACAAAAACAGTATTCACTGTCAGAGAACAGGCACTGATGACCATCAACAACAGGTGTGTGTGTGTGTGTGAGAGAGAGAGAGAGAGAGAGAGAGCAGGAGAGATAGAGAGAGGGAGACGCACATTGAGATGGTAGAAGAAATCCAAGAATGGAAGTGAGGAGTACCAGCGAACATGTGAGGCATGTAAAAGAAGATCACACCAGGACTCAGAACAAGCAGATATTGGCATTGATCAATATTGCTTATTTTTCTACTGTTAGGTTAAACTGACCAGAGTTAGACCACACACACACACACACACACACACACGGACCAAACAACATAATCAGAAGGGTTGGCAGATCGCCATGGAAACCTACTGGGGTGTGTCTGTGGGGTCGGCGAGGGCAGGTATGGGGGCATACCTCATCAGTCTCTGTGGAGCGACGCGTCGACCAGACAAACTCCATGATGGCCACAAACACGGCGATAATGAGGCCGCAGATCAGGACCACGAAGATGCCCCCGATGTTCTCCATGCCCAGCCCTGAGGGGCGAGGGCAGAAGGTCAGTAACACACACACACACACACACACACACACACACAGGCCGACTCTGATAAAACCTCCACCTAAGACAAACATCACACCCTTGTGGACGTAGAAAGTACAACAACATGAGGCTAGCCATTAGTCATTAGCCATTAGCTGGAGTGGAGCAGAGAGTGAGGAGACTATTAGTGGAGAGAGAGGGGAGTGGGGGGGGGGGCAGCTGCAGACCACTGACCCTTGGCACGGTGGTCCTCCTCTTTGGGACACTGGCTCCCCTCCCACCAGCGTCTCTTCAGAATCTCCAGCCTGTTGTTCTCCTGCAGCTGGAGGATGGCCAGAGTGATCTCATCTCTGAACGGAGAGCCTGGAGAGAAAACACACACACACACACACACACACACACACACACAGGGAGTCAGTGGAGGAGGACAAGTGTGTGGCAGCACAGCAGCTGGGGCAAACATGGAGGGGTAATTACAAACACAGTTCCACTGTAGAGACAGCTAATGGTTCAGGTACTGAAGCTCTGCTCTGGTAATGAGACACCTCTGCCACTGGGGGCAGACATGAGAACAGCTTTTTGACAGGACTCAGCTGAACCACTATAATATATATATATATATATATATGTATATATGTGATACTGACTCAAGGATCATTCTTCTAAAATAAAGAAACATTTCATTCTAACGCCCGTGATTACACCACAGTCACCAGAAGACTGAAGACTTTTTTTTTCATTTTTACCCAGTGGCATGCCGATGCCGTAGCCCTTGGTGTCCAGCAGGCCTCCGATCTGCGTGAGGTTACAGTTGAGGCCGCGGTGGTACTCGTTCATGGTGCTCTCCATCAGGAAGGCGTACTTGGAGTTGAGCACGCGGGCGATGCCTTCCTCTGTACTTTTAACAAAGACGCTGGGCTGCTTGGAGTTCATGTAGTTCCACATCCGCTGGTACGTCTGGTACCGTGAGTTCTGCCGAGGAACGAGGAGAAAAATCAACGCTGGTGATTCATCGTCAGTTGTTGTGGAGAAAATTCAAAAATGTATAAAAATGCTCCATTTAAATCAAGACAGAGTGACACGTCCTGGTGCTTCGTAGGACTGACATTTTAAATGAAGACAATAAAACGTTATAGATGTTTTTAGTGTCCACACACACAAAGGTTCATAAATAATGTACGTGGACTAAAGGGAAGTCAAACTCTTCATACATCAGTCATGAACACACGAGGCTCTGACAGGCAGCAGAAATCAGTCAGGATTTAGAAAACAATGAAACTGTGACGGACGATAAAAAGGTTCTCGTTACCATGGTGACAAACCAGACGCATCACAACAGACGTTAACGACCTGGTGACACACCGTGTTACTGACGGATTTCTGAATTCATCTGGACCTGACATGACCTGACATGAACTGACCACAGCCTCTGCAGCACAGAGGAGGCAACGAAGAATCAGAAAAGGTTCTCATCAAATCAAACAAATATTCCAGACTGAAGACAGAAACGAACGACGAGAAAAGAAAAAACAAGCCAAGGCAACAGATTATTTGCTGGTGGCGATGTAAAAGCAGCGACTACAGATGGCGCTAAATCAACATATGGACAGAGGTTCAGTATTCAGGTCTACAGTTACAACGTTTGATTGGATCTGTGTGTGCTGGGGGGTGGGGGGGGGGGGGGTCCTGGAGCAGGGGCTGAGGTAGACAAACAAACACCAGGGGCAAACACACACACACACACACATACGTGGACATCAATAAGCTGGTGAACATTTTCACCACTAACCAATCAGCTGCCACGAGCTCCCGCTCCTACACACACACACACACACACACACACGTGCAGCAGGACAAACACAGATGCCGACCAACACAAACACCAACAGCCATAAAGACAACAAGAGAGCAGCTCAGAGATAAAGCTTCAAATATGACCATAACTGTTCACACTTCAGGCCAAACAATAAAGATCAAATCACAGCAACATAAAAACTTGATGAAAAATGGTTTTCCAAAGTTATTTGGGGGATGTAGGAAACGGCCAATCTGTCAATTCAGCTGCTGTCATAAAGAGCCCCCCCCCCCTCGTCCCCCCCCCACAGACTCAGACTCAGACTCAGTACCATGAAGAAGGTCATGGTGCTGCCTCCGTGGATGGTTCCATATTCGATGTTGGTCTGATCAGCCAGGTCATCAGGAGACTCAATGGGAACCTCCATCCTCTGGACGGTCAGGAAGGCCGCCAGGTTGGCTGTGTAGGAGGAGATGATGATGAGGGTGAAGGCCCACCTGTCGGGAGACAAGGGGGGAGACGAGGGGGAGTCAGGTCAAACTGGAAGCAGAAAAAACAAGACCGTTTAAAAATGTAGGAAGTAGGCTAGTGGTCTGTAGACCGGACTGTGGTCTGTAGACTGGACTGTGGTCTGTAGACCATGACAGTTTTCTGATTGTACAGGAAGCTGTAAGGGGACAGATTAGTTCCGTGTGTCCGTCCACCTGGTCTGTCCACTGACTCAGGGCAGACTGGTGAAGTGGGAGGAGTCTGGAAACACTTACCAAACGCCGCTCACACATCGTGTGGACAGAGCTCTGGGCATGATCTCTGACCCCTGCTGCATGAAGCCTCCGACCGGGAACCACAGGCTGTTCCCCAGGGTGTACTGGTTCTCCAGCATGTCCCTGCGCTCCCGCAGACACGGGTGGGGGTTGTACCACTCATACGGACTCAGCCTGGAGGGAAAACCAAGACTGAGTGAATCCACTCTGAAGTTAAGATTTGATTTGGTTCAAAGTGAAAATGATGAAATCTGGGATTTCTACTTGTTGTACAGTGGATTTAAAGGAGAGAAACAGCCTCCATCAGTCCAACAACTGGTCGTCTATCAGTCCAACAACTAGTCCTCCATCAGTCCACCAACTAGTCCTCCATCAGTCCAACAACTAGTCGTCCATCAGTCTGTCTCTCAGCCTCAGTAAGAGGGTCTCTGTGATTAGTGACACAGACCCTGTAATCACCACGAAGACTGACGACAGAGAGTGATGTCACATACTGACCTTGCAGCCAGGAAGAGCACACAGCTGACCGCCAGGTAGGCCAGCAGCATGAAGAGCCAGACGGCCGGAGAAAAGGGGTCCAGGAAGGAGAAGTAACCGGGCTTCCGACCCTGACGGAGAGAAACAGAAGAGACGAGAGACTGAGGAGGACACAGACACAGACACAGACACAAAGGCACTTAAGACGACTTCAGCAGGCGAAGAATAGGACCTATTTAGACCACAAGGGGGCAGTGTTCTTCTCCACACTGTCAGTGTGAGTCTGCAGTCTCACAGAGACCTGCTGCTGGACAAACCCGCCTCATAAAACCATAAAACCTCAGTGCAGCCTGTGTTCTGTCCTCACAGGAGGACATCAAATCTGCTCTGAGAGTCAGCAGGGGGCGACATGGAGACCCTCACCAGATGAACTCTGTACAGTATGCTGATCCCCAGGGTCATGAAGGGCTTGGAGAAGTCGATGACCTTCTCCCTCTCTGACGTGATGGTGAAACCTGCCACCGCCAGGTCCGCCTTCTGCAGGTTGGACAAAGAAGACAAGAGGTCAGAGGTCACCACGAGAGGTGAACACGCCACTGAAGTCTGCACCAGACAAACAACATCCGCCACACAAACACTAGTCACACCCCGCCCACGTGGAGGTCAGAGGTCAGAGGTCGATCCGCCGTCTCCTTCATTAAGAGCTAATTAATGAACACAGACGGCTAATTACAGTCGAGCGATCAGTCAGCTGAGAGGGAGGGGGGAGACATGGGGGGCGGGGAGAGAGAGAGAGAGAGAACCAGTGGGGCAAGACCCACACTGTGAGGTAATTGAAGTACACTGTGAGGTAATTAGCCAGACGGGGCCGTGGCGGTAAGCACTGCTGCCTTACAGTCAGAGTGGTGGTCTCTCTGTCTCTCTCTCTCTCTCTCTCTCTCAGTGTAGTAAGGCACCCTCACTCACCCTGTTGATCAGTTCTCCCACCATGCCGGTCCAGGAACCGTTGGGTTCTGGAGCTCCGTACAGACCATCATCCACCAGTTTGATCTTGAAGGAGAACTTCAGGATGTTGGCCAACTCCCTCAGCATGTCCACACAGAAGCCCTCGTACTGGTCGTTACCCTCCAAGTCCTGGTAGTTGTCCTTACGCATAACATAGGGGTTCTCCTAAAGATGGAGGGACGAAGAAGAACGGACGTTCACGGGGTTCACACTCTGGGTCTGGGTCTGGGTCTGGGTCTGGTCTCAGTGGTTTATTAAACTACTGCTGTACACATTTAATCAACAGTTCTTCATTTCAAAATTTGTTTTGTGAATTTCGGCTTAAACTAACTAGTAACGGCAACGTGACTAGTCATGGACTCCAGCATCAAGAAATAAATAAATAAATCTGGGGTAATAAGTCCTTCTTCTTCTTCTTCTTTAGTGATTGTCCACTAGGGGTGCATCAGTGCATCATCGTCGATTGTCCTCAGTTGAAAAAACAAATCACCAATACAGAGGACAGCAGGGGGCGACTTACCAGTATGGTGGTAACAATCAGGGTCTTGTTGGCCAGGGTCTCTGAGACGTTGATGTCCAGACTGGTGGAGTTCATGGCCAGAGTGTTGTTGGAGTACCAGATCCCGATCTGACACCGCAGAGACAGACACGAGAAGACGTTCGTTAATCCCAGACCACTGACAAAGACAGGCACAGACCTGGACTACGACCTGTGACCCTGGACTACGACCTGTGGCCCTGAACTACAACCTATGACCCTGAACTACAACCTGTGACCCTGGACTACAACCTGTGACCCTGGACCACAACCTGGGACCCTGGACATACGACCTGTTACCCTGAACTACAACCTGTGACCCTGGACTACGAACTGTGACCCTGAACTACAACCTGTGACCCTGGACTACAACCTGTGACCCTGGACCACAACCTGGGACCCTGGACATACGACCTGTTACCCTGAACTACAACCTGTGACCCTGGACTACAACCTGTGACCCTGGACTACGACCTGTGACCCTGGACTACAACCTGTGACCCTGGACTACGAACTGTGACCCTGAACTACAACCTGTGACCCTGGACTACAACCTGTGGCCCTGGACTACGACCTGTGACCCTGGACCACAACCTGTGGCCCTGGGCATACGACCTGTGACCCTGGACTACAACCTGTGACCCTGGACTACAACCTGTGACCCTGGACTACAACCTGTGACCCTGGACCACAACCTGGGACCCTGGACATACGACCTGTGACCCTGGACTACACCCTGTGACCCTGGACATACGACCTGTGACCCTGAACTACAACCTATGACCCTGAACTACAACCTGTGACCCTGGACTACAACCTGTGACCCTGGACCACAACCTGTGGCCCTGGGCATACGACCTGTGACCCTGGACTACACCCTGTGACCCTGGACATACGACCTGTGACCCTGGACTACGACCTGTGACCCTGGACCACAACCTGGGACCCTGGACATACGACCTGTGACCCTGGACTACACCCTGTGACCCTGGACATACGACCTTCAGCAGGTCCATTGACCCCAGTACCTGTGTATATTTGAACAACAACAGGCAGAACAAAGTGCTGGGAGCTAAGATGTTGATGAAGAGAAGTGTTAATGGGGTGGGGGGGGGCACAGCACACGTCTCTTTTATGGTATGATTTTATTTTACCTCAACTTTCAATCTTGTGCTTGTTTGATACTTTTCTATTGACAAAATAGCGCAGCCTAGTGGCGGTGTTGACGCCCGTCCTGCCGACGGTTTGGAAACGTGCGTGCACCGGCTCTGGAGCGGTCGTGAGGCCGATACATCTGAACGTGAGCGTAGAAAAGGGGCTACGCAACTTTTTACTGGGTACAAAAGTTTAGTACCCGAGGCCCGGGGTAAAAGGCCGGTGGGCATTTGCCCCTGTTGCCCACCCACCTCCTTGTGGCCTCCTCTGTGTTTCTCCAGGATCCTCAGGGTGTAGTTGGTCCTCTGACCTTTGCTGTTGAACTCCACCCGCCCCGTCAGACCATCGTACTCCACCTGTGGGGCAGATGGGGGCAAGAAGTGATAGAGAAAAAATGTTTTATCACGATTAAAGAACAGAAGCCGAGAGAGAGACAGAGAGAGAGAGAGAGAGAGACAGAGAGACAGAGAGAGAGACAGACAGAGAGAGAGCTGCACCTCCCTCTCCTCGGCCCAGGTGCTGCCTCAGTCAGCAGGGTCTATGATGAATGGCATGACGTTGGAGATGTTGATGTTGATGTTGATGGTGATGTTGATGGGGACTACCAGAGACAGATGGGGGGGGGGGGGGGCTGCCGTGACAACACCTTGTCAACCACAAAGAGAGACAGGAGATGAAAAAGAACAGGAGACCAGAGTGAATGGAACGGGGGGGGGGGGGGGGGGGGGGGGGGTGGTCCCCCCCACCTCCCCCCCAGCCATGATTCAGACTGTGTGTAATTGGAAATATTCTGAATAAAAATCAGTTCTTTTCACTCTTCATAAATAAACATTTCACCTTAAAGTCTTCAACTTCCTGTGGCGTGATCACGTGACAGTGACATGTGATGATGTCATCAGTGGGTGACAGCTGAGTGTGTGTTTACCATGCGCAGGTAGTTCATCAGACTGGTGCCGTGTTGCCAGATCTGTGGTGAGGTGCAGCTGAGCGGCTTCACTCCGATTTCCTGACTGCGGTTCAACTCCCTCACCGCCCCCACCACCACGTGCACCGCGTCAAACATCAACGCCGACGAGAGCTGTGGAAGGGGGGAGGAAGCATGAGGGAGAGTGTGAGGTGAGAAGGCAAAAAGGGGGGGACGAGGGATGAGGAGGAGAGACAAGGAGTCCAAAGGT